CTAAAAAATTTTTTAGAAATTTTTTCGAAATTACGGATGTGTCCCGGTTGCCTATTTTGCGCTCTGTTCGCGTATGCGATCGGAGCACAAAATTATTCAAGAGCAGTCGTAGGTATACTGAATGCCTGTTTCTTCCTATCAAGGTCCACTCTCTCTTTTGTCCTTGCTTTCTCGGTCCTCTCACAACTAAATCTTTTCTAGAAAAACTCAGGGGTTCTCAAAACTCTATTTGCTGTTTTTGATTGTTCTGACCAGGGTCAAGCGTGCGTTGAGGAATCCTCGACACGTCACAGGGGGGGGGGTCGTATTGGCCCGCTGGGAGGAAGAGATCGGGCCGATTGATGCAGTAGGATCATCACGTCGGAGGACAAACATCAAGGATCGAATCGATGCCAGGCCAGAGGATTTCCAATAACAATGTTATTCCGCCCACATAAAATTTTCGTGATTCAGAGGTGTCCGCGTAGTAATTCTTAGTTACTTCAGTGTTTTATCACACACAAGTTAAAGAATCCGAAATTCGCATGTTTTCTGACGGATATTTTATCTTTCAAGTGAGTCCTCCAATTTGAAGGGTTGTGAAGCACACGGCGCGTCCCAGAGTGGGCCCAGTTGGTTGCATTTAGGAAAAATCAAGAGGATTCTGGAAGGACTTGTGTGAAATTACAGGGAGGAAGTACACTATTCAACAAGAAATGCAGCCTTCAGCGTCAAATTCATATAAGTGTAAAGTTGAGATTCGCCAACAATTTTACACTTGTTGGGAAGGAAAAGCTCGTGGATTTAGAATCTGCTCCCATTTTTGTACAAAATTATAGTCGTTGAAATAGTGCAGCGAAAAAGTACCTTTCGGCGGTACTCGGGCAAAAATCCTCAACGTGGCCATTTTTAATACTGGACGTATTTAGCAGTTCTAGTAACCGTTGAATAGAGCAAATCTTCTAGTTTATGATGACGTATTAACTTTCAGATTGGATGAGTTTGAACGGAGTTATGGCTTTGGAAAGCGTAAAAACTCGCACTCATCACGAATTTTCCTCGTTAATTTTGCAAAAATCCTCAACGTGGCCATTTTTTAATACTGGACGTATGAAGCTGCTTTAGTAACCATTTGATAGAGAAAATCTTCTAGTTTTGTATGCCATATCAACTTTTCAGATTTGACGAAAATGAAGCAAGTTATGGCTTAGAAAATTGAAAAACTCGCGCTCATAGCGGATTTGAATGAATTTGTTATTTCTTCATAATTTCCATAATTTCAGTACTGATTAGAAAGAGCTCTTCACAAAACTTCCAAATCTGCTTTCAGATTGAAAATTCGTCATATTTGAAGAAAGTTATAATCATTTGAATATTTGTTCAAATTTCAATAGTAAATAAGCTGCTCCACGGTCAACGCCAAAGATCAGTCAACACACAGCTGGCTAAGGCTGCTTTCATACTTCGCGCCGGTGCGGTCGGTGCGTCGGTGCCGACGGCGCCGACCGCACCGACAGTGTGAAGAGCGTCAATACGCGCTCTGGCGCATGACGCGTACGTTGGGCGCAGATCGCGCGCTCCGATCGATAATCTTGGTTTTGGTGTATTTCTTGTCTTTTTCGATGTTTTTTTGCGCAGTCTTCCTTTTATTCGTGTGTTTTCTGTTCATACTTATTCTTTTATGTCTTGATGAATACTTTTCAGTTGTTCCGCGGACGAGCGACTTCGTAGAACCCCTTCGTGAAACCGGCGCGAAGTATGAAAGCAGCCTAAGGCCGATGTCATAGTTTGCGAATCGAGCGATTCGCTAGCGAATCGCTGGATCCGAGCGTTGCGCCAGCGAATCGAACGATGCACCAGCGAGTCGAACTATGTACCAGCGACTCAATAGTGGCGGGACCCAACGTTCAAAGGAAGCCCGCCACTTTCAAACAGTGTCCACTGTCAAGTCCCGCCACTTTCAAAAGGGTCCACTGTCACGTGACACTGTTTGAAAGTGGCGGGCTTCCTTTGAACGTTGGGTCCCGCCACTATTGAGTCGCTGGTACATCGTTCGACTCGCTGGTACATAGTTCGACTCGCTGGTGCAATCGTTCGATTCGCTGGTGCAACGTTCGATTCGCTGGCGCAACGCTCGGATCCAGCGATTCGCAAACTATGACATCGGCCTAAGGCGTTACAAGGCTTCTTTCAATGAAAGGTGGAAGTGCAGATTGAAGCATACTCTGTGTAGTACTAAAATTTGGTAAGCCTTCCAAAGGAAATAAAGGAAGAAGATGTTGTCATAGTCTGCTTTTTGTGACTAGTTCGTCGTTTTTGCTCCTTTTGTTGGAAGGATTCATTAATAGTGATGTACCACTTAAACGACGTTTTAGGTGGAGGATGGAGTAGCAGGGCTTTTTTATGAACAGTTTTGGGGGAGAATTAAACAACCTTTTCATAGTTCGGCTTTTGAAGAGGGTCGTTTCATGGACTTCGGCCTCTGGGGGAGGGGGGGGGGTCGTATTTCATATTTTCCTCAATGCATCGCTTGACTCTGGTTGACTCCCTTATTGTTGTTTGCAGTAGCAGTTCTCTTTCAAATGTCATTACGTGATGAGTTATGAGCGGAATCTTCTACCACTGCAAGGGTAAATCCGGGATCTGGTCACGGTTCACGCAGCGATCTGTGCGTACCTCAGCATCCTCGGTTTTCCTGCGATTCAAAGTTTTCGATTTTCCAGAGTGTCCTTCGATTTCAGATAAGAGAAAGAAAACGAATGCCGAGCACCTGTTCTGGAGATGCGCCATCTATGCGACTTCCAAGCACAATTGAAGTGGTATCCATATATCAAATAAAAATATGGCTGAGCAAAACAATTTGTGTCTAAAAGCGTCTTTGGCTGCTCTTGATTCTCAAACCCAAAAAGCGCGTCAATGACGCGATGCGGCAAGAAGCCTATGGTTTGC